TCTCCACTGCTGAGCTGACCTTAAATTCACTCCCGGGACTCAGATCCAGTGCCTGTGTGTCTGCCTCTTGGTTTTTGCCATGAAGCCTGGAGCAATGCCTGAGGTCACAGAAAGAGGTGGTGACCAAGCAGACCCTAGAGGCCGGGCTCCCATATCCCAGTCTGAGGCTACATAGTCCCCATCCCGCTTGTCCCTGGACCGTTCCTGGCCAAGTTGTCTCCATAGAAGAGTAGCTACCGCATGCGTCCTTTGAGGCAGTCGAGGGAGACTCTCCAGGAGGAAAGACTCTCCCCATCCCACTTCATGTACCAAAACTCAGTTTCCATGGTGACAGTCAAATTGCAGATCCATCCAAGAGCAAGCTGGGGTGGGGGGCAGGGAAGCTGGCCTATCCCCAGAGAAGCGGGCCTGCGTGGAGCTAGGCTGTCTGTCCGCTGCTACAGATAAGTGCCCGGCCGGGCGGGGCAGCCCTTCTGAGCATGATGGGAAAATCTCAGGGATGCCAGGACTCCCGTGAGTGGTCTAGGTGCTCACACTGCTGTGGAAGGAAACCAGAGGGGAGTTCTGCCCAGCAAACCCATGTGATGATCCTCCTCCCAAAGGCTATCAGGAATGTCTTCTCCCTGGGGTTTTCCCATCTTCGGTTGAAAAAAAATCAGGTATGGGCAGAATACAAGTGCTCCTCATCAAGCCATCCCAGCTGCAGCCCTTGGGGAACTACAGGAAAGGAAAAAATTAGCCCTCAGACACTCCGAGAATTTGGTGGAGGATGGAAAAGCAAGGGCCCAAAGACTTAGGAGCCTGAAAGCTTTGTTAATAGACCTGGAAGATTTACGATGCCAGCTGCTATGCAGAGGGAAGGTGGTAATGGCGATCAAATGGCAAATTAGCCAAGGTTTGGGTTCTATGGGGACATTTTGGGAGCAGAAAGAAGGAATGGCTGCTTCCTTGGCCACTATTTGGGTAAAGGGTGTTTGCAAGAGGCCTGGGCCTCTCTTGCCTGTGTCTTCCCTGGGTGTCTCATTCCCCAGTGACAGTAAAAGCCGCTGGCTGACACAGATGACGTCTTTCAGTTTGTTTCTTTCAAGTAGGGCTTATGACAGTAGATTAGAAATGGGATTTGAGTGTGCAGCACAAAGCCCTTCACACTGAGGGTTGGCCCCAGTCGAAATCCCAGGATAATGAGGAATGATGGCCGGGTCAAGGGACAGTGCATCTGAAAGAAATAGGTCTTTCCAGTCAGCTGGCTGCTCTGTGGCAACGTCGTGAGCTCCTTTGTCATCTCCCCCGACCCGCCGTTTCCATGGCTGAGCCCTTCTGGGTCTGTATTAGGAGTCAGAGAACAAGCCAGCTGTTGGTAGCTTGGGAAAGTTTTCTGTTTGTTTGTTTGTTTTTAACTTTGTGAAACACAGACATCCCATAGGCCCCCATGGGGACCAGGCATCTTCACCCCACCTCAAGGGTAGCCATTTTGAACATGATCACACCTCACAACAAATGCTCTTCTTCCAGTGTAGTGTGGCGCTTGTGTCTTAGAATTTTAGCCTGGTCCCAAGCCCACTTCTGTGACCATGTACCATAGATGTCAGAATGGACAAGAGTGGAGAAATGAGCTTTTGCCACCATAACCTGAGTTCTGGGACATCCTGTTCCATTGTCCCTGCCGAGCCCTTTGGCATCTTCCCCTTTACACCAGGCACTGTTTGACTCCCTGGAGCCCCATGCGCACCCCAGCCCCTTACTGCATAGATCCTGCATGTTAGGCTCAGGAGAGATGGAAGCTTCCAGATCAGGAAGCATGACCAGATCGTGCGTGAGCATCTCGGTCAGAAAGATGGGGAAACGGATGTGGCGGTCAGCTACTGTCTCTCTACAGGGACTGTCCCACTGCTGAGCCATGCTGCCCTCCGCTGCTGCCTAGAATGTGAGCCACAGACCTCCTGAGTCCTTTGTAGATGCCCCAAGGAGGATGTGGAGAGCTGCTTTCTCTAGGTGTCTGTCAGCCATCTCTGCCTCCTCCCACCCCCTTTGTCTGGGCACCCATGAGGTTAGTGTTTAGTCAGGGAATGAGTCAAAATTACGTAAATGATTCTAACACTGACGCCCGTGGGGTCTGGTCTTGGTGGATTCAGGCTCAAAGCTGCTGCATTCGAGACCTGCAAAGCAAAATACGTCAGGTTTCCCACATCCTGTGAAGGGGCACGTGGACCACAACCTCTCCGCATCCCCACCCCGTCTTGCCTGTGTATCACAAAAGCCCAAAATGCCAAAGCAGAAGTCTTCCTGGTGGGCAGGCAAGGAAAGGAACCAGGGAACAAAAGAGCACAGTCCTTGAGCAGATGGAAGAAGGAGAAGCCAGGGACAGTCATGTGGTGGTCATCCCATCCCCACCCCCAGGGCAGTCTACAAAAAGGAGACACTCGCCAGCCTCCTTGGTGGGAAGGGCCCGGGGCTTGATCCTGTAAGTGAGGGAGCCCCTTAGGGAGGGTGGAGCCAGCATCTGTGTTTCACTGAGGCATCCTGGGCTATGCAGAGAGAGGGCTGACTGGAAAGTGCCTACAGGTGCCAGGCAGATCACTGAGGCACTGCTGGAGGAGGTAGGACCTTGAGGTGAACAAGGCCAGTGGTGACAGTGAAGAGGCAGCTGATTCAAAGCCATCTAGGTGAAGAAATTGGCAGGAAATGTGGACAACAAGGCAAATGCCACATCAACAGTCCTCTGTGAAGCTCCTATATATACTCCCTGTACCAACCACTCTGCCATGGAAGCCGGGGCTGAAAATCTCTCAGAGTCGGGTGATCAGCCAACTCCAACCCTCTGGCTGCCTGCCTCTGTGGCCTGTGACTCCCTTAGCTGCAAGTTAACAGGCTGGGCTCTAGATCCCGGTGAAAGCTACCATTTCGCCCTCTTGTACCCACACTGGGTTTCCCTAACTGGCCAGATGCTTCCCCCACTGAGCGTTAATGTGGCCTCAGAATTCTCTGCCCACTGCTGCAGAAAGGACTTGGCAGATCAAGTGAAACCTATTAGCCACCCTTGGTATAGATCGATTCTGTTTCTAATCTTATCTTCTACCAGTGGGAACTGATGGCTCAGAACTGTTGAGAGGATTAAGATTCACTTGCTAAGCGCCTAGCATGGTGCCTGCTTCTAAAACTTCACCCATTCTACCCTCCCTCTGTGACCAGCCTTCCCCCTTTCAAAGTAAAACAAGACAGATGCCTATGACTCTTCACCCTCTGAGCTAGTCACCTGTGAAAGGTGTTTACTTTTTTTTTTTTTTTTTTTTTTTTTTTTTTTTTTTTTTTTTTTGT